ATCAGTTTTAAAAATAAACAAAAAGTACACAGTTCAAATAGATGAGCCAAGCGATATTTGAAGGAATGCTCAGTTGCTTGCATTTATTTCTGTACTGATGATGGTAAACAGTAGAACAATTTTTATGTTTTAAAGAATTTGAGGGACAGTCCAAAATATCTATACTACTCTGAGTCACTATATGAATTCTGTTGGCTTATCCTAAAAATTCTGTAGAGGAATCTGTACAGGGGAATGCTCTTACAAAGGATCTGTGTTGCTAATGAAGAGATAAATAACAATATATAGCAATACATTGCTTTCTGTATTATGTGGCAATCTTTGCAAAACCAAATAGCCATAAGTTGACTGTTGTACCAGATAAAGTCATGAAAAGAATGAACTATGCAATAAAAGTGTTCCTTTAGTCAAACCTGTTTAGCAAACTTTGTGAAGAAATCAGAACAAAATTTGTGTTCAGCCATCAATGGCTATTGAGAGAAACAGTATTGTCATGAGCTATGAATTGAAGAATTAGATGCTTACTTTCTTCTTGAGCAACAAGAACAACTTTGTGGCATACGATACTTGAACTGCAAAGTTATTGTAGAGAATCACAGAAATGACCCTGGGGACAATATTATTCAGTACTATTTGACCACTTTAGTCTCTCAGAAAAGAAGCAAGTAGTAAACATGTACAAAAACAATGCAATTTGGAATTAAAACAGATGGAAATGGCTTTTGATGAATTCAGGATCCAGGTGAGGAAGGAATACCCTCAGATTGCTACTACAACATCAAACGGCCTCTTGTAAACATCCTCCAACTTGTAAAGTTTTACCTGAGTGAATTGGGATGTTCTGAGCTCACAAACATTAAAACTTCAAAAGGGAACAGAAATAGTTGAGAATATCCTCAGCCGAATATCAAAAGGCTGTGTAAATCTCCTCAAGCTCAAGTATCTTACAAGCTCAAGCCAACAAGAAGAAATTAAATCCCAATACATTTCTCTTTGATTATTTTATAATAATGTAACACTGGAAATATACTGGCAATTTATAATTATGAATAATAATTAAGAAATTTTGATGGTTGCAATTTTTTTAATGGAAGTTGCAATCGGATTTTTCTAAAAATAAATATTTGCCTCAAACTTACCCTCTTATAGATATCAGTGTATCTACCAATTCACCTGATGGCTGCATTCTAAAGGCAACTAAATTATGGAGCAGGGATCCTGAAAAATACAATACACAAACAAAAGTCATGAAAACATTGCTGAGGGATTATTCTTCTGAAAGCCATCTGATTGATTCATATCCATTTTCAATGAGTCCTCAGGTGAAGAGAAGAGAATAGGAACGGAGACTTCCGGTGGCAGGCGTCTTCGTCGGTCGCAGCTGTTTGCTGCCTCCCGCCTGTTTCGCGTAAAAGCCGGTTTGACAGCTAGCATCAGCTGTCAAACGACTTGATACCTTTCCCCTGGGCATAAGGGGATAGGTGAGCTGCCCGGGGTAGGAGTTGAGTTCCCAAGTCGTCCTATATGGACGATGTAGGTGAGAACTCCTCCGGAGCCCCGAGGATTCTCCGCGATCCAGGACGCCTTCGCTTCGGCGAAGCTAGAAGCCGCCGCCACTGCTGCAACTTAAAGTTAACTGTGAGTTTTATTTGTAAGCAGACGAACCAACCTTGGAAGTTTGTTTTTTATATTGGACTTTACTCTAACTTGGA